TACGCCATGTTTTAGTGTGAATTCTACGCACGTCGTTATACATGAGGCCCCTGGTGAGCAAAAAGCAACAGGGTCATCATACCTCATTTTTTAATTTTCTGGAAATTATACATTTTTCTCATCCAATTTATCTGACAGAAGCTATACATGACACCAACCAGGAGGTGAATAGGCACTGTATTAGGATGAATTCGCGGACGATTACGTCACCCACGTGACATGGAATTAATCCTTTACTATAATATTCTGGGAGGTTGTAATTGTGGATTAATTCTGATCGCGTGTGGACTGATCATCCTGAAATTCAGATCAATCGTCCATGATTCACCCCAAATGTTACTAAACTGCACGAACATGTTATTTAACGATCCCCTGTAAAACCTAACTTTACCATAAATAACTTGGGCTCATAAAAAAAAAGCCAGGATGCTCATCTGGGCCATTAGATCGGTAAGCAGGATGCTTATCTTGGTTTCGGGAGATAGGGTGGGGGGTCGGTATACAGCACACTATATTGCCTTTAGGGGGGAACAGGGAGGCATTGCGCAAGGACGCCTATTGTAGTATGTTATCGCAAGCAGCATCACTTGGACAAAAGGGGCAATTGGAGCACACTATATTGCCTGGGGGGAAGGGGTGAGCCTGGCCAGCTTACCCCCTGCCCACACGCAACTCTAAATTTAGTATAAAGGAAGGGGGAGATTCCAGTACTGACCGGAGTTCAGCCGTGGGACAGAGCGCCAGGACTGAAAGGGCTCCCCAGTCCATGTGTGAAGGTGGGTGATGACAGCACGTCCGAGTGTAAATAGCTTTGCAACTGCTTATGCTTTCCATTGATTGTTGCGAGTAAATTATCGCCGCTTGTGATAATAATTCGTAACTTTTTATGTTTCCTTGCTTCTTTTATGTATTATTGCTTCTTTTCTATATATATTCGTACCTTTGCACCTAATACTAGGTATGTCACAAAAAAAATCAAAGTTGTTGGATTTTTACAAAAATAGCACCAGAAGAAAGGGCTTGATAAGACCTTTCCAATGATACCAAGAACCTCTTTCTGTGACGAATGGCAAGAAAGTTATAGGATATTTTGTAACGCCAATTAAGGCTTATTAACGTCCACTTATTAACAGATAAAACAATAGAGAACCATACTTGACTTTATGACCTGTTTATGTTCAGAAAAATGAGCGTAACTCTGTTATTGTTTATCAGATTTTAATAAACTAGGTATCATTAGAAAGCTTATATACATATAACCTCATTTAAAAGCCTTCACATCATTTTAAAGCTGTAAATTCCATGCTGAAAATCATGCTATTTTCGGCTCTTGCTCTTGTTCACTACAAAACATGGCCGGCTCTCGCGGCAGATCCAAAAAAGTTAACTGCTGATCGATAAATTTTGCTCAAAATACGCCTAAATACAATAAACTAACTAAGAAATATAATTATCATAGTTTGAAGAATAATTCTGCTTACCTTTATTGTCCCAAGGAAGGTTTTAATGAGTGAAATTTTCGGTAAGATCGGGAGGAAATTTCGAAGTTATCAGAAAGTCAGATGACCGTGTTTTGAATGGAAATCCCCGGATGAAGGTGTGTTTTACGTTATCAGAACGGGTTACCCTAATAGACACAAAAATAACACAACAAAAAGGCAAAAACTATTGGGATACCCTGGTGCTCTGGGGAATGGCGACCAAATTGAAAACGAGGCTTCCTGCCAAAGCCCCTATGGCGCAGAACTGGTGATAGTGACATACCTACTAATACTATTAGCTATAAGATATATATTATTTGATACCCATTGTAGTACGAGTTATTTTGCATTGCCTTCAATATTATAGCTTAGTATTGGTGTTAATGCGAGATCATTTTGTATTACTTATTAAAGTGTATTTGAGTGAACCTAAGCGTGCCTGTTTGTTCCTTTGAGAGCCCTATATCCCTCTCTCATCCATTTTAAGACAAAAACATATCAGTTTGAGGTGAACTGCCCCTTTACAAAAAAAGGGAACAAAAGGGAGGCTTAAAAAGATTACAGACATGTGCAGTGAAGTCTCCTGACCAAACCCATAAGACATGTAAGCTTTACAGGCAACATTGAGAGAAAAAAAAAATTACAAGTGGATATATAAGCCTGTGAACATCTCGGCGAAGCGACAGGTTTCAGGTGAGCACATGCATGAAGAGCAGACTTGGATGGCTGTCAGTAGTTTTTTCATACAGAATGTTTTATTTGGAAACACAAAGGTGCTGAACACAGATACCCAAAGCAGCACTTTTAAGTCTGAACAGTTACTTTTTTCCTTCTACATTTTCTCCCTCAGGCAGGCTTAAGCGATGAGATCTCCAGTAGGCCTATTGAATGACGCAACCTGTTTCCCAGGCTACCCTCAAACCCCTGCTGGGGGCAGTAAGAATTTCAGCAGGAAACACGCAGACAGGAGATGCACCCATCAAGTCTTTGCGACATAAACCTGGCCAAGGGCACGGTGTGTGACTAAAGGGACTTTCCTCCATGTTTTCCATACCCGTTCCATCCTGGCCAGGGAACCCTGATGTCTGAAAAAGTATGGAGCCTCCAGTATAGAAAAACATGGTAGCGTAACACAAACAGTAACCAAAGTCCACAGTAAATACTGATGTGCTCAGCTGGCAGCAGATGGCACCATGATTACACTTCAGATAAGTTTAGGATCTGGGAGAAAACGATGCAACAATGTTGACATTCTGGTGGGGATTACACAGAAGATGCTTTGGACAAATGACAAGGTAAACAAAACTAACTAGACATTCTGTTGCAGGGGCTACATTTTTTTTTTTACTCAAATGCAAAACATCCTATTTGTGCAACGCACCTGTTTGAAGGGAACGGAACTGACACAAGGGGTAACCAAGGGTCCTCGGTCCATTTTAATATATAGGCTTCAGGAGGGAGGGGGTACAAAAAATAAAAAACACACAAAGGGCATAAATATATCCCCCCAGCACTAATAAGTACTCCTTTGGGGGCATACCAACGCATGGGGGGATGGACTGAAAGTCTTCTCCCACAACTCTGAAAATGGGGCAGCGCAGCCAGATCTAGACAATCTTCTGCTCCAGCCAGCCTGTATGAACTTCCTGCTGTCCGCACTCCAACTGTCCAATGAGCTTCCAGCAGAAACCACCCGACGACAACTACCTCTGTAAGGCCCGCCTCCAGGCAACAAACACCAAAACAACTCAAGCTATAAGCCCCACCCAGAAAGCTAAAAGTCCCCCATCACAGTAACAGTTATACACATATCACATTGTTTATACTGAAGGGTGGGAAAAAAAATTGAGGGGGGGAGAAAAAAAAAAAGTTTATTTTTTTGTTTTGTTGCATGCATACAAAACAAACAGCTCTGAGTGCTTTGAATCACCAACTCTTGCCAAGGCCCTTGGGCCCCCAGCTTTTTTTTTGGGGGGGGCGGGGCTGCCATTACTGTGCTAGCGGATATGAAGACAGAAGCCCTGATAAGCGCAGCCAGTCTCCCCAAGACGGATACTGGATCCCTCATAATTCTGTCATTTTCTTAAAAATAAAGAAATGGCCCCTCCTATTCTCTGCTTTTATTTTAAAAGAAACAAATAAAATCAGACGTAACGAATCCACCCCCACCCCACCCGGCTCAGCCTCTCATCTCCAAATGCTCATCCATGAAGACGGCCGCCATGCAGGTATACGGTCCACGGTCATTAGGACGAGGTGGGGAGTTGAGCGGGGGCTGGGGAGGGACAGGGCCTCCTGCCTATCGGTCCATCTCATCCAGCAGGGGTGTGGCATCGCCGGCCACAGACATGGGCGTGCTCTCAATCATGGGGCTGGGCGAGGGTCGCGGCCGTGGCGTCACACGGGGTTGCTGCTTTCGCCGCTCCGCCTCCTTCTCCTGCAGCCACTGTTCCGCCATCTTACCCCAGTCCACCGCAGTGTGGCTGCTGGTCCTGCAGGAAGGGCGGGGAAACCGAGGGGCAAGAGTGAGTGGCCTTAGCGACAACCTCAGATCACATGTATTCATTCAGATTGCACTTTTATCTGAAGTGTGACAATTTGTACGCGCTCCCTGGGATTTGAACCCACAACCGTTGTGTTAGCACAATGCCCTACTTGAACTACAAGAGGTCACACTCATAGCACCAACAAGTCACAGAATATTACTTTCCAAGTCACTCTAGATCGACTAGTGTGAATTTCAGGTGACTTGATTTCTTCTACTAGCCTGATGCCTCTGTTCTCAGAATGTTATTTTAAGGTTGCACTTCTGCTCCTTGAATCATCTCATTAGGGTTCTTGCTTTGTTGGAAGTTGTATAGCTTCTGCTTCAAACGGTTTGCTCTTGTACCTGGGCACTGATTGGAAGCTCAGATGAGCTGCGCTTGTGCATAGTCAACTCCTCAACAGAACATACGTTTATAATGTACAAAAGCATCATCTTAAATCAAAGCGTAAATCATGTCACTGTAGATGTTGAAATGTTAAGGCATCAAATCCAGCACTACATCAACATGCCCTAAATCCTGCATGATCTCAGCTATGCTGCAGTTTTGTCCAGGAGGGATAGTAATGTTTCAGAAACGCTCTACACACACTGGGTAGAGGATAGAGAGACACTCACTTCGGCTGTGGTGTCCTGACGCGTGACGACGACGATGAGGAAGGCGTGGATGAGGCATGTCCATGGCCATGCGAGGACTGAGGGGTGGAGCTTGGGTACTGGGGCGTGGTCATAGACTGCTGTTGCTGGCTGGGCGTGGTGAACGAGTAGCTTGGGGTCATGAGGGGTGTGGCGATGGGCTGCTGAGCTGGGGTGGCGAATACCTGTGGAGGGAGAGGCAGGTCAGAGACTGACAGGGCAAAACCAACACAAACAAAAGCGGGGGCTTTGGGTTTGAGGAGGGGTGTGGCTATCAGAGTATAAAACCAGTGAAAAGGTTCATTTCAGTAACACCGGTCTACAGCACTGGACAAGCAGGCAAAATAGTCAAAGACCTCGATCAGATTCCTCAAAATGGCAAAGCCGTTCCCCTCAGACTCACATGGTAGGCGCTGCTACCCCCACCACCACCGCTGCTGCCCGCGCTGTATCCATACTGGCTGGAGGCCCACTGTGCTGGTGTGGCGTTGGGGTTCTGGCCCTGTCCGGTCACCGCGGCAATAGCGTTGAACATCTGGGAGGTCATGTTTCTGGGAAGGGCATTTACTGCCCGGGTCAGGTCTGGAAAAAGCAACAGTGACAAAGTTAAGCAGATCCAAATACATTAATTTAACAAATTAACCTATTAGGCATTTCTGCTCCAGCATAGGCTCCTAGTGGCTTTTTGAGAAGGCAGGGCAGCTCACCTGCAATGTTGATGTTAGCGGGTGTAGCATTGACCGATGCCGGAGTCCGGGTTCGGCTGCTGCTGCTGGGAGTAATGCCTGTTGGGGGTGGGGAAAGAGGCGGGGTTTATTTGCAGTTCCACAGCAGACTGGAGGTGAGGAAAAATTAAATGGTGGTCAGGGTCACCCACCTGGAACGGGCTCCTGGTAGTGGTCTTTGAACCAACGGAAGAGCCCGTTTACGGTGGGGAATATCTGGGCCCGGTACCGGAACCCATCGGGTGTGATGGTCACAAACTCTATCCTATGAGGGGGAAGATAATGTATCTCATTCAATACTAACCTCGGATGTTGCTACTACAAATGACTTAAGTTCAGTGTCTCTCAAACCAGTCCTCAGGGACCCCCAAGATGGTTCACATTGAGCACTGTGGCATAGGGGGCAAGAGTGAGGTCCTGTGCTCACCTTGGCTTCCCGCGGGGCTGATAACCCAACAGGAACTTGCCAGGAAGGTCCCGGCATGCTGACACATAGTACGGGATGAAGGTTGGCTTTTCCTTTTTGGTCTTCAACAGCAGTTCCTCCATTTTCTGTTTTGCACAAATGAAAAGATGAACTGCATCATTCTGTCATTTCCATAGAAAAATCATCAATAACTGCCAATTAGGTCATTTAGCCAAAACGATCAACTGAACCCAAGACAAAAGGTCCAAAGGACCTGCTAAAGTAAAGCTAAATGGTGAAACTACATCTGAAAATAGACCCTCCACCCCTGTACCTTGCGGTCTCCACTATTACAGTCCTGGAAGTACTTGTGTCCTAGGAGGTCGCGAGCGAATGCAGCCATGGGCTGGACATAGCGGGCTGTGATCTCGTCCAGATCTTCAAATTCCTAGGGAAGAGAAAAGTAAAATGATTGGGTGTCACACAAAGGGAGGAATGACCTATGGAAACCAATCGGCTTCATGATCATGCAAATCAACCATGCAGACTAAATACTACCATAGAGTCCAGCCTTCTTTAATGCACAGTAACACACGGCTGTATCATGGTCAGGAGTATTCACATATAACCCACAGAAAGACTTCATTAAAATGCAGAAAGATGGCTACTTGCCTCATTGTTGATCCATAGTGTGTGGCCAAGGCTAAAGGCGTTCTCTTTGCCCTCTTCCCGTACATCCACATGCTGGTAGATCCCATCAGCAACCTTCCAGGTGACCGTTAGATGATTCTCACCCTTGCTGCTAGGCCGGATGATAACATCTCCCTGGTCCATGGACTCCATCATCTTCTCAGCCTGCTTGAAGTTGATGTTGTGGAAGGAAGGGTGAGCAATCACCCGCTTGATATAGGCTGTATGGGACACAAGAGGGCAGAAACTTTAACAAACACATTTGTATGTTCCCGCTACAAAGTCCCCAGAACTGTCATGTGTTACTTCAATACTTGGTATTAAGTAGTAACTAATCTTCCGATTACCGTTGAGTTTGCAACTTTTAGCATTCATTTGTTAAAGCCAGGCTGAGAAACAAATGGTCTTTATAACCAAGTTCTACAGTTATGATTATACTGACTGGTCCTCTGTTGCTTCTTCTTCATTTCTTCATCCAGCTTGATGTCCTCCGCTTCAGTGTCAAAATCGTAGTAGGTATCCTTAGGCAGCTTCCACTCGTTGTTTTTGTCCATCAGGTCTGATGTTCGGCAGGTGAGGTCCACGCTGAACTTCTCGATGTCGATCTTCATGATCCGACAGTGGACGGTCATTCCGACCTGTAAGAAAATAAGCTTTATTTATATAGCGCCTTTCTCACACTCAAGGATGCTTTACAATGCAGACGATAGTACAATAAAGCAAAAACTCAAAAGGTACTTGCTGATATAATGCGGTCCTGGACAGAATAGCATTTTCCCCACAATGGGCTTACCTTGACCCTGTCCTCTGGATGCTTCACCACCTTATCACTAAGGAACTTTGTAGGAATAAAGCCAGTGACGCCATTGTCCAATCGGGACCGCACTCCAATGGCCTGGCCAGGACACGAGCCGCTGTCAAAGTGGTTCCATACCTAGACAGGCAGGGGACAAGATATTTAAGACTAAGGATAATAGACAAAAGGAAACCCAAGTTGGCCCACACGCCATTAATTCAGCAAAGTGCGTCCCCCTCGGCACTGTTCTAGGTCCCTGTACCCCACCTCGCTCAGCTCAGGGAAGTTGTCCTGCTGGCAGAAAGGGCACTGCCATAAGCCGGTCTCATCATTCCGGATGGCCTGGTCATAACTCTCCCCCTGCGGCCGTCTGTGAGCTATGCCGGTCACCACACTGGTTATTAGCTTGCCTAGGGAAGGAAAGAAAAAACAGAGGGAAGTGAAAGAGGGGTCTGGCGGCTGAACACACAATGCTAAATAAAATGCTAGTCGTGCTAATTGAGAATTATTCACTTGGATTTCACAATTACCAATGTAGAAAGTCTCCGGCGTCTCCTTTGTGAGTAGGTTGAAAACCTCCTCTGTGTTGGGTGGTCGGTAAGGTGCCCTCAGGTCCTTATAGCGGCAGCTGAGCTCGGCACGGATGTCATACAGAGTTATGCCCTTGTTCCCGTAGCCCTGGAGATCAAGACACAGTAACCGTCATACATGGAGCATCCTGTGGTGGAGGTGGGCTGTCTCACTGAAAGAAAAAAAAAATCTGAGAACCTAAAGGTTCTCTGTTTGACTGTTCTATAGATCAGAAACAATCTTGACCTGTCTCTCAAGCTCTTCAGCAAAGGCATCTAGATCCAGGTCTTTTAGCCTCTCTGGATTCTCCAGGATCTCTTCCAGAGCACCAGCGGGGTTGGCATCTTCTGCAGACTCATCGTATTCCAATGCATCTACTGCCATTTTGCGAGCCCACTCATAGGTCTCCGGGTGCACACGAGATCCATCAAGGACCTCAATGTACGAATCCGTACTGCAGGGAGGATGAATATATCAATCATTTACCCCTTGAGACTATCACACAAAAGATATGCAAATTAGGTTCATCAGGTCTATGCATAATTTTTGGAACTTCAAGAACCCTTAAAGCAACAACACTAACACTAAACCAAAATCTAAGTCATGTGACCAGCAGAAGTGGCAGACCTGTCTCCCAGGGAGGCGGTGTCGATTTTGATGAAGCCAGCACAATTGATGAAGACCTTGGGCCCCATGTGACACATGGTTACAAGCTGGGTACGATTCTCCAGGCGAGTGTTATTCTGTTTCAAAATCTGAAATTGGGCACCAGAAAAGGATGTATTTCAAACAGCTAACCAAACCTCTAATGTCTGTGCACAAGAAAACCGATCAAAGACCGATGCCAGCTTGTCTCCTTACAATGAACTGTTACAGCGACATGACAATAGCTTGCAAAAAGCCAACATTACGGTTTACCTTAAGCAGATGGGAGCCCTTTCGGGGGCCCAAGCCACAGACGTACTGCACCAAACTTTGAGTGTATGGGTGGGCCAGGGCCCGGTTCACATCCACGCCCACCTCATTGACTCGGTTAATGAACTCGCAGTAGAGCGCATTCAGCAACTCTTCCTTCACCACATGCTCCTGGGGAGGGTCAAAGGAACAAATTAAGTTAGTCTGGCTAATTATTAGCAATGGTTAATACTGTACTAAACTGAGGCACTAATTTAACAGGATCTAATGTCTGGTTTAACAAATAAGGCAGTGTTTCCCAATCCAGTCCTTGAGGACCCACAGACAGTCCATGATTTTGGCCTAGGAGCTAGGAGCATGCAAAAACACGAGACTGTCTGGCAGGGAACACGGAGGGAGCAAAAACAGACCAGCTGTGGGTCCCCGAGGACCAGATTAGGAAACACTGGACTAAGGTATCAAAAGGGTATCTGGCTATAGGGGTGTAGGCAGACACTGAGTACAGGGGCAACAGTACCTGCAGTGGGTGAAGCTTGAGGCACAGGATGTCCTCGTCAGTGCTGCAAACCTGGGCAAACTCCACGAGGGGGTCCTGGATCTTTCTGGCTACGGAGACCGCCTGACGCAGGAGAGGGGGGTAGTCCCTGAAGTCCGCCTAAATGGGGGGGGAGGAGTAAGATGCAGACCCGTTGTCAAGGCTCCAGCATCTACATGCAGATGGCAGGTTTGACCACACCGACATTCACCTCAGACTTCTTGCTGTTCATGTAGAGTGTCGCCAGTTCATTGTCCACCAGCTCCACACCCACTGCAGGGAGGGATGATTCCTGCTCCAACTCACTCACGGTTCGCTTGATGTCCTCGATCACCATTTGGGCGTCCCTTCCGGAGGGTTAACCAGCAGGGGGCTTAATCATTCTGAACGCACTACAGACCCTCAACAAATGGCAGTGGACTGGAGCTCACCTGTTTTCTCCTGCCACAGCCACTATGTGCGGCTTCTTGCTACTCAGGAACTTCTTTAGGTTTTCAATATCCTGGATCTGGAGAGGGCACATGTTCAGAGAACAAATTCACAGAAAAGCCGACACGGTCTGACCAGCTGAACATCCTCAAGCTTGTAATAGTAGGTATGCAGAAAAGGTTTGATATCATGCATCATCCACATAAAAAAAAAAAAAGATATTTTAACCTGGAAGCGTGTGTATGCATGGTTAACGAACCTTCTTCTCCCGCTCATCTTCTCTCCACGCATTTCTCCTCTTCAGGAAGTGCGGGAGGCGCAGGAAGTCAACCACCTCACCTTCACCATTTATAAGTGCACAGAACACTGGGGTATCCCTGTCAAAGCACGAGGTGCCATGTCATCCAAAGCAGTACAAAACCCACTGCCCATGGCATATTCCGGGATGGGGGGTTACAACCAACTGAGGCAGATTAAAATCTGAGTCTCCTACCTGCCAGATGCAAACGCCACTCCCAAAACACGAATACCCTTTCCCTGGGTCTCGTCCATGAGGTCATCATCCTCTTCTACTTGCTGGTCAGGCCGATACGGTGCCACCTTCAGCCAGTTGTACAGCTTCCTGCTGCATGCCTGAACAATGAACAACATCCAGACTTCTAGAAACAAATCAACATTAATCTGAACCAGCCCAGCAGCCATCCAAATTCTTTATAGAACATAAGCTATCAAACTGACCTTTAACGGCTAACCACATTCCGACAATCCACATCATGAAGGCAGGTACCTTGATGATGTGGTCCTTGGCCTCAGCTAGCAGCTTGTTCCTCAGCTCCTTGGCCATCTGGGGGTAGAGGAACTGCTGCAGGGCACGTTCTATGGCCAGTGTACGCTGCCGGTTCCACTCCTGCACCTGGTGGCTGAACTCATCCCTGTAGTAGAACTGTTTGATCTCCTCAAAGTAGGTCTGGTCAGCGCCATACCTGAAAGGAACCACATGGTCACCTTCGCTGCTACTTATCCAACTAATCACGTTCCAGTTTGCACAAGCATGCACTTTTACAGGTTAAATGAAAGCCATGATTCTACAAATGATCAGAATCCTAAAATAATTACAGCTCACTTCCTACCAAAGGTGGACTCACCCCTTGACGCCAACCAGGTCAATGCAGATATCAATAGTCAGCAGACCCTCCTCCTCGGCGAGGCACATCTTGAGGAACTGCTCCCCACTCAGTTCCTTCACAGGTTTGTTCTTCAGGTACTTGAAGGAGTACGCATAGTGTGCTTCATCCACATCCTGCATGGTGGGGAGGTCAGGGATTGTGCAATCAAAATCAGTGTCACAGTGGTGTTTAAAGGCTAGATACTAGCACTCCACACAGGCGTGCAGGACCAGACAAAGCTCGTTCGTACCTTCTTGCCCTTTTTAGTGGGCTTGATGTTGATCTTGGCCCTCTCCTGGAATGTTTGCCGCAGGACGTGTCTGACCAGGGGCTCGCGGGCGATTTGCATAGCCACCATGTAGCGCGTACCTTCCAGAACTTCCTCTGGGGTTCTGAACTGGCTGCAATGGGGTTGAGGCAGCTATGGATTTGGGACGCCTGCTCATTACACCTATTCGTAATTTTATTTTTGGGTTCTACCAGAATAGATTCACATGCTTCAATGTTCCAAAAACACATTATTTTTCCTCATACTGTATATCTATTCACCCTCGGTCTGAAACACTGCTAGAGCTTTAAGCCCCACCCACAATGAGCCCATCTAGCAGTCTGCATACAGATTCTTACAAGCAGGTGGCCATAAGAACTCTGTTACCAGGTGACATCACCATGTCACTGAAGTAAGGGCTGGAATTCTAACAAGGCGTTTCAGACAGACAGTGGTTTCTGTGGTGAAACATACTCCCCTTGGCGTGTCCATGGGGCCTTAAGACTTTGCACACAACATGCTAACGGAAAGTGAAAAACCAGAATAGCATAGTATGTCCCTTTAACTTGTAATCGAACCCTCTGGGGTAAGACATCCATACTCGCCTACAGTCCCCACAGCACCCCATTTGGTCGAGTGCTCCTTACCTGCACACATAGTCCTTAGCAAGCTCCAAGGGCTCAGCGGGAAATTGCTCTGTCTCGTGCCGCTGGTAGCTGTCACGCAGGTTCTCTCCAAACTGCTCAGGGGTCAAACCAAACTTCTTGGCCAGGCCATCTGGGTAAGAGAAACAATATGAGGTTAAAAAGACAAGGGCGGGGGTGGTTTCCGTCATCCTTCCGAGTGTAGAAAGTTACTGACCCAGCCCGGCACTCTGACAAATGCTGTACATGTCTCGGCGAGAAGCCAGCTTCAGGTCTGGACCCTTCTGCTCCTCCTCTTCCTCCTCCTCCTCAGCCTCAGCATCCTGCTCACCTGTACGGAAATCACATATTTCAACACATGGAATCGTGGCGCAAACTGAAGCAACACAACGCAAAATGCTATAGGTTAATATATGAGGACTCACCATCATCCTCTGAGATCTCCTTGTTTACCTTCTGCTTCTTCTTGTTGGCTTTGGCAGCATTCTGCATCTTGGGGATGTCACGGCCATAGTACAGCAGGAAGTGGTTGTACACGTCACTGAGCTCCTCGATAGACTGGACGTCTTTTAGCCTTGGTGGAGAAGGCAGTAGCGTTTTACCATAAAGGCATGTGTTGGACAGGATTAAATGGAGGAAGCTGGCGGCTGATGGAAGACACCATACCGCTCCATGTCAGAAGTGTCCAGCGGCCGAATGCCATCTGCCAGGGGCTTGTCTGGGTCAGCGGAGATCTGCTCGAACTGGAAGGCCTGCATCTTCTGAAACAGGCGGGTTAGATTCTGCTTGCGAGTTTTCAGCTGGGTCCACTAAAATTACAAAAAAAAAGAAAAAAACCAGAGTCAATAATTGGGAATTAGAGACCAGCCATACAAAACCTTACAGAAACCAAGGACAAGATTGCATTTATTTAACAATCGCGTTTGTCCAAAGCAATGTGTATGAGGACAGCTTGCGGTCAGAGTGTCCCAAACAATTCAGGGGTTAGGGTCCTACTCAAGGGAGGTGAGAAATGGGGAAAAAGGGCCACTTTGCATAAACCATGAATAAAACTGAATCGCGCACAAACACTAGGGGCTGCACAGGCTTTAAATTTCATGGCAGCTAGTCGCTGATCACGCAATTATGACAATAACGTGAATGCCTCAGAATACTAGTTATGTTTAATTGCATTTACATTAAATATATTAATGAATACCTTTTTCCTCGCATCTCTCAGTTATGGAAAATTTGATCGATAACCAATATACTCATCAAATATCGCTGGTACCGGTGGTGAAACCTGCCTAATACTTATTAGTAGGATAATGTTACATCGTGTTTTTTTTTTACTCCGTGAAAAGAAAGATCAATCAGCTGGCCACAATTAATAATGAATTCTGTCGCGACCTCTAGCATGCACTCACGTGCAAACTCACACGAGTCATGCAAAAAGGCCAAAGGTCCAACTGCATGTTACCTTCTCATCCCATCTCCACACCTTCCACAGGTCATTGATGTTGAGTTCAGGCTCCACATACTCTTTTCTGTAGAAGGCTATAAATGGAACCTGGAAGAGTGGAGTTTCGTCAAAACGACAAGACCAGCTGAAAGCGGGATCCTAATTTTTCCATTCCTGATTCTGAATACGTGCGCCAGCTCTTTAAAACGCAAGTATGCACTGCAGTTTGGCAAGGCTAAAGCAGTAAAATTATAAGTGCTTGCTTCAATTTAAAAAGATTAAGTTCTAATGTTAACGTACTAAAGGCTTTGTGATTATGTCAAGTACTGCTAAAGCAATTAAAACACATTTCCAAGTATCTTTCAAAGACACTGGAAAACACACACAAACAGCATATAAATATACCGAGTCTACATACCACTTGGGGACCAATCAATAGACGATCTTGGGTGCAGTGCCTCTTACCTCAAAGTGCTGGTTCCGCATGAAGTTCAGGGCCTCCTTGATCTTCTGGATGGTGCTGGGTCCTTTCCTACTGAAGCTGCTTGTTGTGCCCCGGTCCAAGTAATCAGTACTTTCCTAAAACAATTTACCACAAATTTCAAAGCTGTATTCTTTGTGAATTTCCCTGCCCTGGAATGGGACTTGCAAACAGACTGTTGGCAGCCTCCCATACCTGCATGGAGATGGTGGGGGTGGAGAAAGCACTCCTGTAGATCCACTCTGCCTCCTCCTCCAACTCTGGCTCCTCTGCAGGTCTCACTGGGATGGAACGCAACTGAGAAGACATCCACCAATGGTAAACCAACCCCACCCATCTCTTCAGTCAGTCACATAACACCAAATTTACTGTCCTTCACCATATGGTTCATGGCTTTGGCTTCAAATCCACAGCACTGCAGGAGTACATGCTGAGTGCGTGGTGGTGACACACCTGAAACCTCTCCGGCATGTCGGTGGAGCGGATCTCGTTGTCCTGGTCAGTCATGTGACTGCTCTCCAGCTCACTGGGCTCATAAATCTCAAAGATGCTGCGCCGACCCACGCGCTTCTTGGCCTGCTTCTTGGGTCGATCCCAGGACTCTTCATCCTGGTCTTCCTCCTCCTCTTCCACATTGTCGTAGCCTTCTGCGTCAAACTCTGCAAAGTCAAAGTCGCCACCGAAGATCTCCTGGGCTTCCTGCAGGGCACTGTTTGCGGTGGGGGAGTTCTGTAAATATTCCAACTCGGAACCTTTTCTTAGGAATTACCAGGAGTATATGGGAATTAACAGGAAAATTTTGGGCAGACAGACACTTACGCGTCGGTGTATCCTGGGAGCTTCTTGCGCCATTTCGGCTTCTTAAGTGGCTGTCCGTCGTCATCCACAATGAAATCATCAATATCTACAGAAACATTATGAGGACCTCAGGAACAAACAGGCAGAAAGTACCGATGAAGAACGCCACAGTGTTAACAGACATCCCGTCATCTCACCTGATTCTTCATCATCCTCTTCCTCATCATCACCTGGGTGGAGGGCCACGTCGACATGCTCCCCATCCTCGATTCCTCCGTCACCAGTGAAGATCTCGTCAGCGATCAAGTCCTTCTCGTGGGCTTCTCTGCCGTCGTCATCATCCTCATCTTCATCATCGGACATTTTCCTTACACGTCGGAACTTCTGCTGTGCGGCAGATGACATTTCCCAGTAAATATTGACATAATCAAACCCATTAAAAAGGACCAAGTCGCCATTTCTTCAGACAAGGAGTTACATCCAAACAGAACATTTACAGGATTAACAACAATGCACTACATTATTGCCCAAAACTAAGATATTGTATCTATTATTTCAGAACTGGAAAAAATGTATCTTCAGAAACTCTCATTCGAGCACCCGCAGTTCTGATTCTGATAGTTACCCGCTTCACTTTCACTCCCAAGTTCTCCTCAATGAGGTCAATGTCATCATCGTCCAGGCGATCATCGTAGGCTGGGGGAAAAAGGAGATCAACCTTTTATTTTCACACACTCTCTTGACCCCATTCGATCATACTGGCACTGACGTGCTTTTTAGATGTTAAGTTCAGAAAGGGAGCAATAAAGACCCTTACAAATGGTGTAGATTCATCACAATCATTTCAGATAAGTTTGCAGCATAAGCAACATTACACTGGGATACACTTATTATGCATCACCAATCTACTATTAGGTATAAAACCAAAATCCATTTTTACTTCGTTTTCGTTTGCGATGCCCAATTTCCTCCCCAGAGTCACTGTCTCCACCACCACTCGCATCCAAATCTTCATCCTCTTCCTCCTCAACGTCATCATCGATCAGGCCACGCAAATTTCCATGCTCGTCCTGGTCTTCAGTATTCTCCTCTTCCTCCTCCTCATCTGCGGTGGTGATAAGGGGGGCAAATGTGTGTACATGGGGCAATGTAGGAATGCTCTAAAGAGGGCCAAATTCAAGCGTAATAGCCCATGGGGAATTGCAGGATCCTTAACCTTACCTGAAATAAAACTACCCAAACACTTGGTACATCTTTATCAACATCTGAGACATTATGTGCTGAAATAATCCAACTTTATAACACACCATCAAAACTGGCCCAGCAGACCACAGCTGAAGCATAAAAGCCACTGAACAATTTCTCCAAAATCACCCACCATCCACCTCCATAAATTTCTGCGTCTTCTTGGGCTTCAGGTCCCTTTCCTCAAGCTCCTCCTCCGACTCCTCTGCCTCGCTTTCGATAAAGTCGGACATCTTGGCACGGCCTGTCAGTCACTGGGCACCAGCTGGAGAGGCACAATGACAAGAGTTTGGAAAATGGAAGCAGACATAGAAGGGTGACAGAACAGGATAGAGCACAATAAATCTCTCTGCATGTCAAGGATTCAAGCATTGTACTTTGTGTTTACTGTACATTTTAGGCCATTTCTGTGACATCGGCATACTCTTGGGAACACACCATTACTCATTTCAGCAGAAAAGGGCTCAATGAAATGGGTTTGGCCAAAACGAACTAAACTAGGGAGTTTATTTTAAAAGGGTTACACCTTACATCCATAAAAATGGCTGCAATAAAATATGGAAACGGTGCTTACAATTTTATTATATATGAAATCCAAGTCAAAATACGTGCGGGTGTTAGACCCGCTAGCTATTTTAGAGCAGAATGCCCACCCCACCCCGATCCGACCCAGGAGAATGACAGCACCATGATTCAGTACTGTCAATGACTGCGTAATAATTGTTGCTGTCCACAAGGTCCTTAAAGCAGAGTCTCTGACATTAAAGGACACGTTGGCATCTGACCAACTCATTATGATTATCTTATGATTGACATTGTGTCGCCCCTACACTATAACCGCTGCGACAACGTTGCACAACTACTTCAATATTACTGAGCCCACGAATGGAAGAACAGATTGACCCGCTAACAATAATAATTTTACCTAACAGGTATCTCAGAAACACGAACACCTCGGTGGCACTTACTTACCTCAGTGGTTAGTATAGAAAGCCACCAGACTGTGGTGACCGGCCATGGAGGCTGCAATCTCAATACCACGATTGACACACTTACTCTCTCTCTCTCTCTCTCTCTCTCTCTCTCACACACACACACACACACACACTTAACTTCATCTCCGACAAGGGCAGATAACGATTCAAAAACCTTCGGAAAGTTAAAATTCCATCTTATTTAAATATTAAAGCCGACAGTATATTTAAAAAGGCCTAGACAGTGGGCATCCATTACGTCCAACAACAAAACAACCGGGCCTAAGAGCCTAGCGAAGGAACGCACCGAACTCCCCCGAAACACGACCCGTAGAACGTTGTTTTTCGACGTCAGCCGGCGGGGACCCGGGTTGGGCGTTTCGTACTTACACTCCTTTTCGCCGAGTCCTCCGGCCCCAAACTCCTAAAGCATAAAAAGAAACGCTGGAGAGATGAAGAGTACCTGCGTTTGAGGAGAGCGCAGCTGTGAAAATGGCCGCCGGCCTGGCGTCGCCTACCCTAGAACGTGAGCGAGACAAGCGTCCGCCGCCGTTATTCAGCGGCTTAAATTCCTGCGGCGACGCCTGGCGGCCGCAAGGAGAAGTGCTCGCTTTTTCAGAGCAAATCAACCGAGAAAAATGAATACTTAAATGGACAATTCACAGGTAACATCGCATAGTTTAAAATACAATAGTTTCAGTTAAAAGTGAAGTAAATAGAAAAGGTATCCAAATTCAATTTTAAAACCTTCGTGCGGAAGCTGCAGTGATTATGCCCATTCAGCAGGGGGCGTATGATGAGAACACCACGCCACCCTTTCTGCCTATGATTGCAACGTTGCGCGTCTGGGGCAATAGAGCGAGCTGACAGTGGTGACCGGGATGGATGGCCGAAGTTGCACATTACGCCTTCTGCGGAACAGCATTCTGCTCTCCTGCTTGTGGTCTCTATCTTCTGGTACCGAGATTAGTTTCGTGACGTGCGGATCGGTGGTTAAACTGCTGAACGTCAAACACAACGTAAGACTGCATTCCCATGACGTACGGTATGGTTCGGGTGAGTGCTGAGCAGTCATGCTTGAAAAAACCGGCAATGTGCTATTTGTCATGTTAATCGTTAGTGTTATTACAAGTTAACCGCCTCGATTATTACATCAGACAAACTGTTGTCACCAGTATGAGTTTGTGAGTTTTCTCCAATACTAAGTCCTTGTATTGTCTTCCGATCAGAACACCGTTGAGAATGACCGGGGAAGCAGTGCCCGGCATCGTTAGGCCGTTCACGCTTTGCAAACGTCCATGCACTAGTGTCCCTTGCTAGTGGTGACGACGTGATCCTGATCGTGTTTCCAGGTAGCGGGCAACAGTCAGTAACTGGAGTGACCGCCGTGGAAGACAGCAACAGTTACTGGAGCGTGCGGGGTGTAAGGGGTGCTGCGTGCTTGCGGGGAACCCCAGTACGATGCGGACAAACTATTCGTCTGACACACCTCAATACTGGGCGCAACCTGCACAGCCACTACTTTGCATCGCCACTGTCCTCGAATCAGGCGAGTGATTTTTTCCCTTTGTTTTTATGTGTGTATGCTTGGGAGGTTCTGTCTGACCTGTTTAAAGTTTTTCCTATGCTGTTTCCCAACAGGAGGTGAGTGCTTTTGGGGAGAATGGAGAGGGAGACTCCCTGGATGAGTGGACGGTGCTGTGCGGCGGCTCACTGTGGCGGAGAGAAGAGTCAGTACTCTTCAGGCACACCACCACAGAGGCTCTGCTGTCTGTCACAGGCGAGCAGTACGGGCGACCCATCCACGGGCAACGGGAGGTTCACGCCATGTCTGCTGCCAGCCAGCACAGCTACTGGAAGGTCATGGAGGGCATTTTCATGAAGCCCAGTGATATGCCCGGACCTAGGAATGGCAATGGCCCAGTCCATACTGAATTTTAACTGCCAACCCCCTCCCACTGCGCTCTCAATCGCGGGTGGCAAAGAGGGGTGTGTACAAGTGGCAGGCCGAAACACTACACCTTAAAGACCTAGTATCAGTTTATGGTCCAGTCCTAGTGCCTTGGTCACCTTATCAAGGCAGGTGGCCATAGGTTTACCCAGCCCAGGTTAACCAGGTTTAACCATTTGTTTCGTGTACTGTAAGTGTAGAAGGCATCATGGGATTTGCAATTGGGTTTGGCCCCCTTGGTATTAGTAGAGCTTTGGAAAGTTCTAGATCTGAAGTCCAATCCCACTTTGCCTCTGGTTTGCCTCTGTCATGGAACTCCTGGAATCCTGGATGAGAAGCAGACTCTGCTTTCTAATGCCTTTTTGCCCCATAGAATTGTGGCAGAAACACCTCAGAGAGCTATATTCGCAACTGTTATGAATTTAGGCAGTGGTTTTCACAAAGTTCTTTTATTTTTGTGATGTCCCTCTTAGTATTTTCATGGATTTGCCATTGAAATGATTTATAAAACATATTTAATAATCCATGAGATTGGAAATTTGATGCACATTTGTTCTTCGGTTTACATTCATTTGTAAAACTAAATATGCTATATTTTTCTGAGAAGTGGCTTTAATACAGATCCATTGTGGACTGTTTTTAGGTCCCTGGACAGGATCCAAAGGCCATTTTTCTATGTGTCAAAGGGTTGAATAAGCAAAATACACCATTTGTTTATGATTGTATTTGGTATTTCTGGTGCACAGTTTTCGATGTTTTGGAAAATCTCCCAATTACCTATCCATGGAGGTTGGTTGTTTAATCAACAGGGGGTTAGAGTCTTGTTTACAGTGCTGCTTCATTAATGTTAAAAGAAGCACAACATTAAGACCAGTTCACTATGACCTTTACACAACACACAGTATTATTGTAAAAGCCAGGAAAAACTACATGTTTCTCTGCATAGTGGCCCAATTCAATCCAGCCGTTTCAGACAATCACACCCAAAAGCAGATCCCTTCTCCTTCATTCGGCCTGGCGGTTGCATTGATTTGGGTCCCTGGCTTTGATGGGAAGTTGATGTAGCCTTCAGCTTGGTCTGCATGCGAAGCAGAAAATGTAAATAATACCTCAGAAAAATGTTTTTTAGCCTTTATTAAATGTTTTGACTCTGAAACAGCCCCATTTTTTTTTTTTTTTTTTTAGAAAATGGAAGACAGAAAATTTCGAGTCACATATGTGTGAGCCTTTATGAATTACTGAATGTAATCATCAGTTAGTTCAGTTGATAGGAATCCCCAAAGCAATTACAAGGACTTGATGTAATTTAACCTTTACCAATGGCGTAGATTTGGGTATGGATGGTAGGGACGTGTCCCTGTCAATATTGTGGGAGAATCGTGTATGTTTATGATAGCGGGAGGTACGGAGTTGATTTGCTCTATACCGATGTTGAAACCAAAAAAACGCCCTTGATCTTTACAAACCTATTTCCTTTGTCATTGCGTGCTTCATCAGCTTGGTTTAATATATAGAAATACTAATCTAAGATGTTGGTCGTATACCATCAAGGACTTTTGGAATTTTAAATTCAAGGATCATGCTCGGTTCTGGGAATTCTAGCGTAAGGGATAACGGTGCGGTTCAAGGCAATTCATAAACAGTGTTTCAGCGCCCCCTTGTGGAAGCAATCTATATTCAAATTAGGCCTAAAGTGTATACAGTATTCCCATTCCCAAACAGTTAACATAAAATTTATCTGCATTACAAATTGGTCACAGATAAATTAGAGCATTTAAACGGGATTGAAAAGGAATTAAAGTAAAAGGGTCGGGGCAGGATATAGCTGATAACCTGCCTAAGCAAAGTAAAAAAACGCGAACTAATTGTGTAGTGAGCAATCTAAGCGGTGACGTAACTGGAAGAGTAATATGCAGGGGAAAATAAAACAGCATTTTTTACGGTAGTCATTTTCACATAGAATTGATGTGTTGGTTCGCGTGCACTGTAGTAGCAAAGTGACGCCACTGATCCTCGAACTCAAACTGCTTTGCAGTTAAAGGGGTGATATTTTTATGTTGCGGTTCGCCGGTCTGCGTTTGAAGTCCCCATAAACGGGGAATTTCATTCTAAGTGAGCCAGCGCCAAAGTGAGTCCTCCGGGAAGGAGGTGAGATGTGACAGCACATCGCATATTTCAGTAAGACTCACAAAGCTCTGACAGCATCGAGTAAACTGTAATCTCTGCGGTAATGGGCACGAACTTTTAAAGTTATTCGGTCAAATTTCACTGGGGAATCTTTTCTCGGACCTTTTTCTAGGGTAATTAATTACTGCAGTAAATGATCCCGTTAAATCATCCGTCCGTCTCAAGTCTCATTTTCTGGCCAGGGTCGCCAATCCAGTTATAACAAAAATTACTTTTGATCAACTAAGCAAACAATTCTTTTGCCCTAATGAGCGATTTAACAAGGTAAAGTACACTGACATTTAAAAACTTTTATTGCATAAATGTTTTCCATTTACGTTTGAACAGGTTTACATATTTACAGCTACATCACTCAGGCATTGATATATTACCGATGTTCTATTACTTTAATCAGCATGCTAAGTTTACATGTATTTACAGGTATATACTATGTACACATGAACAGAAGAAGGACCGTGTACGTTTATGTACGTATGTCATTAAACCACCATCCTGTTTAAATTTCTGTCACGTTTCTTGCAAAACTATTAAGCTGACCCAGACGACTTGTAATTAAATAGCTAGGAAATTAATTGGTAGAACGTATCAATAGATACAAAAGGTGACAAAGTTACCTCCGTACGTTAGACCATTCAGTCTACCAGTGCTACCATTGTTTTGGTTTAAATAAATAAATAATAAAACAAAACTGAACTATGTTGTGTAAAGTGATTTGATTTTAAGTCTAAAGTACGAAGTATTTTATGCGTAGTGTCCAAAACCAGACCAAATGGAACCTATAATCGGTCAGGTGTAATAAGATTACATTGCGTTCTTTTTCTGTGTTCCATTTTACTATTGATTCTTTATTAAAAGTAGGAATGTAATATCCAGACTTCGTTTGAAATCTGTTTTAGCACAAACAACTGTTTTCGTCTGTGGTAACAAAACCATATAATTACTACTATTAATACTATAATATTATATAATAAGACTTTATATATATACACACATACACCCAATACATGCCATCTCCATTGACCCTCTAATCCCCAGAAACACTGGCCACTTTCCCAAGGCGTGTAAACAGCAGTTCTTAGTAGATAGGCCTATTTTAGTTACCATTAAATGTTTTTAATTGTCGCAAAACCCCCATATGGTACATTAAAGATATTAAATAGTCGGTTTTCGTTTAAACCGTTTGATGGCAAAATTAACGAAATAGCGTGGATTGAGATAGTGCCTATTGAAATAAGACCGCTGTTAACTTGTGTTAATTTCTACCACAACGTACAAACCTTCTTTGTGTTATCTAAAACTTCATTAATAAAAAATAATGATTTGAAAAAGTAGCATTTCCAAAGGTTTGTTATTCAAATAATAAAATTACAGACACAACCTAAAATGTTTCCTGTGTCAGCAGCGTAAAAAAAGTGCAATTTGAAAACATGAAAGTAACAAACCGGTGGCCGAACTCCCACCTTGGTGGTTTAACGGATAAAAGCTCAGACATTTATCGTGACGCGTCCAGACACGGTTTTCCTATGAGAATCTGAATACTCCGCGCGGAACATATAATTGTCAGACACGCGCATACACTCGCACACGGCAGATACCTACAACTGAACCTCCCCAAGTCAAACAAAACCATCTCTCACTTAATTACTGCTATAGCCAATTAGTATAATTGCTATTAATTTAGAAACGTGCATTTATTCAAGGCCTGGTAATACTTACAGAATAATGCATGTCAAAGCCTTTCAATTATGAAATATTTAATAGAATATTAGCCACATTTTTAGTTGTTAAGTGTTTAAAATCCATTTCAAATGGGCTTGGGGTTCTGTATATTATACGTTCAGAATTTCTCACATTTTGGCTCTGTGCTCAAGGTCACTAGGGTGTTGTGTGGGGTCCTGCCGTGTGTACAGGCACACACGCGCACAGATCTATACACTATCGTGTACATCAGTTCTGTACAAATGGTGCTGTAGGTTTAGGTTCCCTGCTGTCTTCTATGGCTTGACTCAGAGTTTATGGATGTGTGCAGGGTCTGTTTCTCCAGGCTGAACTCAGACACACAACGGCAATGGTGGTTACACAGGCGTCACTTATGGAGGTCATCATGGCTCTAGGCAACCTTATGGTACCTTAGTCACACACACACACACACACACACACACACACACACACACATTTACAAACACTCTGCTGGGACACATGCACTGCATATGACTGGCCTTGTAGGAAACTCTGCCCCATTCCTGTTCCCAGAAGCACCGCTAAGGATCTCAGATCCTATGAAAGCAAATCATATTGGGCCCCCAACCGAAACCAATCTAATTATGTTCCAAATTTTTTAGGGCCCCTGTACAATCATTCTGACTATGGCGCTTTTCCACTGGCATATAGGATCCGACCCCTTCTGGACCTGTACCACAAAGAGCCACTAGCATGTTTCCAGCTCGCTGTGGTTTTCTGCTGCAGGAGGTTCAGCTCAGTACAGACATGGCCGGGTTGGAGAGCGACAGTGATATAAAACCGAAAAGGCGCCTATTTACTGTGCGCATGGTGTACTTTCTGATTTTCACTAGCACATCTGTGAGAATCCTTTGTTATGTTAGCATCAAATGCTAACGGAATTGGTATTCGCTTGAGTGAATTTGCATTAAGTATCCATTCCATTCAGCTGTTCTATAGTACTTTTTTAAGTAAGAGGTTGGAAAGTTTCATGTTGTGAGTAACTGGGAATGCGATACTACTCATAATGAATAATATACAGAATATGCCCTTTTCTCCTTCAGATAACACATGCACAGAACACCGGTATCTCCGTGCATTTCAACCAATCAGATGGCGGTGACACAACCAGTTGGGTTTGGTCACACTTTTGTCCTGCTTACTAGCAGGGCCATGTCAGGGTGGTTACGGCTCGGGTACAGCTTGGGTACAAGAAGATTTTGTTCATATGCAGTCGTGAAAAAAATAAGTTGGATCTGTGTGTTCCCAGCCCCAGGATATACAAAAAACAAAGGTGTCCTGGAAAACCAGGCCCAATGTGTGTATATAGCAGATATGTAAAAACGATCCGGTCACTAAGTCTAAGTATCATTCTCAGACAGCTTGGGTTGGTACCGTGTAGAGCTGGGCCTGGACCACCTGATTTAAAAGGGCGATCACTAAGCCGAGCTTTGATTGAGCTGACGGCAGAGCCGATGTGGGGGCACAGCACCCACTGACATTTATCAAACATTTGCGAAATGCCTGGAGAGAGTGAGGGTGCTATCTGGCGCCACCTGCTGGGGATCAGGCATGTGTTTTTTACGCCATACTTAAGTGTTCTGTGCGCCTGCATGCTGTCCGCGTGATACTTGGAAAATGAGTGCTATAGAGAACGCTTTGCTTGTGGCCCTGAGTCACACGCACAGACATTCACGCACACACACCACACACACACACGGACCTGCACTTCTGATGTCAATCACTCATGTAAACACCTTCCACATTCCATGTATATTTTTTGACATGTACTTATAAATTACGGCCAAAGGGTCTAAGAAGCCGTGGCTTCACATCGGAGAGACAGTCCCCTCTGGAAGACTAAGAAAAGCCAAAATCACAGCCTGGATCAGAAGACGCCAGCATGTTCCTCATCTTGTTGCACTGGTGAGGCGGGACTAAGCGCCGTGTTCTCAGCCTGAAGCATGTTCCCCGCCTGTGTGACAGTAGCATGCCCAAGATATCAGGGCTCCTGTACATTATTGCGTTAAGAAAACTGCTCCCATCAGAGCAAAAGGCAGCCCTTGCGATGTCCCCCAAAGACGGGGGCCCACACCTGTGCCCCAGATAACCCCCCCCCCCCAAAAAAAAATAAACACAAGATCCTTTTATTTTTCCCTTTTGAAGATTTTTTTTCTTGGTCTATTGATAATGTTCCTTCAAAAACAGGAAGTGACCTCACTGGCTGGGATCTTCCTCTTGCCAAGTGTGCCCCCCTCCCCCCAATCCGGTGGTCACTCCATACCATTCCTCAGCATTTGGTTGGCGGCGATGAGCATGACGCTGATGATGAAGGCCATTGCGAAGGCACAGATGAGGCTCTTCCTCACACACGTCTGTCGGTTCTTCTTCTTAGGGTGGACTGCATTCAGTTGGCGGGGAGTGGGGGGGGTGGTAAAAGAGTGGGGGGGGGGGGAGAGAAGAGAGGGTCACTCTGGAGAGAACAGAAAAGCTCTCGTTAAAAAGCAGCCACGCTGTGTGCTGCCTTGACCTTTATCTGACCTTTATTTTGTCCTCTGTCCCAAGAGTCAAGTCAAGGGAAAGCAAAGGGCATTTCACTATAGAGGACAGCTCCGACTCGCACAAAACCTTTCACCACGGAACCCGGACGTAGCTGCCTGCAGAGGCTGCCATCTGATACCCTGCTGCTCCCAGACAAACCAAGAAGTGCCCTTTTGAGTCTCCAAAGAACCATTTGTACATCATATATATTTTTTTAATTAGCTGTTGGCCTGCTCATCCATGCCTAAAGACACATCATTAATTAATCAAGGCTGTTCCTGTGATGGTAATTTCTGATGACAGGCATCCTGTAAGTCCCTCTTTGGGGCTCTGAGCTGATTCCAATTGGCCACAGCTTTACATTCCCTACAGGAAACTCCCGAGGGACCTTGTGCTATTTCTGTAAACATTCAGAAGGGTGGGAAGTTTGTTTTTTTGCTGTGGTTGGTGCTGATCATCATACACAGCATAGAAGTTGTACCCAGGGGCGCTGCTAGAGATTTTGGGCCCCATGAAAGCGTACCATGTTTGGCCCTCAACCTGCTCATTGGAGTTATTGGCCACATTTTGGTCTGGGTTGGGGGTTTGTGGGAGTTTGCCTTACACAAAAATGTCCTGAGGGCAGAAGGAAAAATGATTGGTTAAGAGAGATAGTCTAGTCGCTTGGACCCACCTGCTCTACATTCTGATTGGTTATCTCTCTGAACCAATCATTTTCCCGTCTGCCTTCAGAAGATCTTTGTATAAGTAAAACTCCCACAAGCCCCCAACTCAGACCAATCCAATTATGTACTAAAGTTCATAGGAATGGTTCATAACCCCCTCCCCTCTGTTTCCCCTTATAGTACACCCGGTTGTATCCGTTCATTCATCTAGTTATTTTAGTGGAGGAATTCAGGTAATGTACATTGCGTGAGCATATCACCATAGGGCTGGCTGGGACTAAAATTAGCAACCTTCAGACCATAGAGGTACATACATGTACACTAGCGGTCTTACAGATAACAGAAAGGCCTGGGAAGAGCCAGAGTGCCGTCTCACCTCCTTCGAAATCGGCCTGGCAGCCTCCCGCATTGTCCTTCAGACTCTCCTCCTCTGTCATGATGATGTTCTCAATGTCCTTCATAGTCAGATGGTCTCGGAAGGCATGGAACAAAACATGCTTCAGCTCCTCCAGTGTCAGACGCTGCATGTCAAACTGGGGGCCAGTTGGGAGGAGGGGGGGGGGTTACAGATCAGGACAGGTCAAAGCTTATTCCTAACAGGAATCAGAAGTGCCCTAACCCCCGCTGCTTCGGTGCCTTGGCAGCCTGTAAATTTATAGTTTTTCTCATGAAAATGTACCTCTACCTGCCCTGCGTCCTCCTGTCTTCCCCAAACAGCCATGATGTTATTAATATCTGCCTCTGATTGGTCAATAAAAAATCCTTTAACAGAATATTCAGAGCACCCTGTGATGTTCCCACATAATGCATTTTGATTGGTTGGTTTTGCTGTCACTCTGCATTACAGGGAGGGCATTGTGCTGGGCTCAGAGACTCCCCTGGGACTGAGTGAGCTCATTGTATCTGCTACATCACCACATCAGCCACCACAAAAGGAGGGCCACTTTCAGTCAAATAGTTCATGCAAAAAAATGTAAGAAAATAAAATCAGGGATACAAAAAAGCCTAGCAATACATTTTACAACTGGTGCATTTTTAAAAATGTATTATTATTATTATTATTATTAATAAAATGCAATGGCTCAAATGGTGCAAATCTACTAGGACATGGGTGAGGGATTCATAGACCCCAATATGGGGGGTGGGTGGTGATCGTTAGGTTTCAAGATTGAGGGTCTCCCATGGTAAATTTATCACAATTGAGCAGTAGCACTTATGGTTGCAATGGAGTTTTTTTCACATTTTAAAATTTTTAGAGCCATACACTGGTAATCATCTCACGACCCCCAAAGGGCTTGTGCCCCCACATTGGGAACCCCGGTACTTGGATATTCAGAACACATCCATGATCAACCCCCACTAGCAAATTCATTCATCTTCCCAAACTGCTCAACACTGTCAAATAAAATTACATATCATTTGTCCCTTAAATAACAATATATCTCTTTTCATTTTAACACAATATTTCAGGATGACTTCTACAAGTAATGAGGAACTAAATTTCTTATTCCCATAATTTATAATTCATGAACTCATAATTGCAAGACAATTGATCCTAATGGCCTTGTGACTCAAATGCTAAAACTGAATGAGTGGATGTAAAGCCTGTGAAGGTTATGTCTGCCCAAGCCTGCACAGTGACGACGTCGCTGAGAATCATTATATCAATGCTGGGCATTGAAACTACTAGTCTGCATAGCTTTGGGGCAAGGGGGGGTGTCATTTCAGGAAATAACCACAGGCAAACGGTCAGTGTACTCCAGCATCCCAGTAAGGACTGGTCCAGTAACACCAGACCGCACTCACTGACGTGAGAGCTGCCACTCTTCTGTCTCCGATAGTCATTATCGTCTCTCCACTCTGCAAGTAATGAAGTTGATTCGATGTCCCTCGAAAGGCATTACATAACCCTGCGCTGCCTCGCTCTGCTGTTTTTCTCAGTTTTTTTTTTTTTTGTCCCAGGTGATTTTCCCCCAGATGGAAATGACAAATGATGACTTGCGGTGAGGGGCGCTCTATAGCCGCCCCCACAGTTCTAGAAAACAGGCGTGTGTGTGTGTGTGTGTGTGTGTGTGTCTGTGGGTGGGGGAGGGGTGAAACTCAGGGCGTCGTGGTCCCCGGGATGACAGCCGAGGCACATAGAGGAGAACGGAAGAGGCGTCAGGGGTTGGAACCTCCGTATTGCATCTTACTCCATAAAATTCTCATTTTACACTCCGCTCTCTCACCATTGTTTTTGATCTCTCACTCTGTCATGACGAGGGAAACAGATGCACACTTAGGCAAAGGCAGTAGTGCGGAGCAAGAACAGGCGACGGTGAAAATCCGCACGGCACCAATCACGCTGTTATGTTATGTTCCCGAAGGCCGACGTGATTGATCCACGTTACCCTGACTTTGATGAAGGCTAGAATAAAACCCCCAAATTACCCATCATCCTCCTGACACGCATCCTACAGTTAAATGCATTAAAAATCAATGGCGCAGGAATCGATCTGAGCCCAATGGTATGGGAGCCCATTTATCCAAAGCGACATACAGATCAGAAGGCAGCGTCAGACAGTGTCTGGAGCAACAGCAGATAAGGGTCTCGCTCAGGGGCTCAACAGTAAAACCAATCTGCCAACCATGGGGTTTAAACCAGCAACCTTTTGCATTACGAGTGTACTGCCCTAACTGTCTAGCCACGTGGCACGTGACAGTCACCATAAAAAAGCCACCAACCTCGTTCAGTGACCTCACCACCTATGAAGCAGGTGCACTCGAGTGTGCTCGCCACGGGACCGGGGGTGGGGTGGGGGTGAGGCTGAGAGGGGCTCAAGGACGTGGAATCGGGGCCAGCGACGCACATGTGCCGGTTGAGAGGCGCCGGCAACAAATGGAGAAATAAGAGGTATTCTGGGAAAAAAAAAGTAATGGACGGGTTGTCAGCCACCAGAGAGGTAGATGACTCAGAAGGAGAGGGAGAGAGGGAGTGGGGAACGTGGTGCGGCTTTGATGGACTCATCGCCCGGAGATGCTCAGTAACTTGCTGTGAGACTAACTGAGCCCCGATAAGCAGGTTCCTGTCGAGGTCTTTCTTAACTGTCCGGGACTGTGAGGCTGTGGGGCTCCGACAGGAGTCTGTGATCTTCACCTCCTCCGAGTCTGCGCTGTTTCTCATGTGAAGGGACTCCTAAGCATGTTCTTGCGTACCTTCTGCTCAGAAACCCATTCGCTCCTGTCCCCCTCTCCTGTCACAAGTCCACATAGAACGCTTAGATGTGAAAAACATCATTTTATGCCTTGTGTTTGGTTGAATTTGAATGTCTCAGGTATAACCGTCTCCACCTTAAAACAACATATACCATTACAAAGTTATACAGCTCTGGAAAAAATTAAGAGACCACAGCAAAAGTTTCAGTTTCACTCATTTCTCAATTTATGGGTGCTTGCCTGTGTAAAATATACATTTTTTTTGCAAACTTCAGCCTGGCTTTACCCTGCTTCTCTTTGATGAAGGGCTTCTTTCTTGCTTGATGGGACTTCAGTCCTGCTTCTAGGAGACTGTTATGTATTGTCCTACAGTGCACTTCACACCACTTAATGCTTCCCATCCTTTCTGAAGGTCACTTGAGGTTATTCTCTGATTTATGAGGCACTGCCGGATAAGTTGACGGTCATCTCTGGTATTAGAAAGTTGCTTCTGCCCTCTACCTGCCTGGTTTTTGGTCATTCTCCCGCTACACCTTGTTCTTTTATACTGCTGTCTTAGAAACTTTGAGTCTGGAAGCAGCCTGTCGCTCAGTGTAGCCTTCAGCCAGTAGAACCAGGATTAAACCAGGATTTGAAAATACAGACTTTGAAAAAATATAGAGTGGTGTCTTCAATTTTTACAGAGCTGTGGAAATGTAAGAAAAACTTAGCTTCTTGAAAAGTCCTTTGGTTTACAAGGAAACTGAACTTCCACTTGACTATCAGTCTTTCGATTCGGCTGCACACTGGACCATTTCCATATCGTCTGAAAACGTCTGATCATTCTATCTATCTATCTATCTATCTATCTATCTATCTATCTATCTATCTATCTATCTATCTATCTATCTACTCTATTCCAGTGTTTCCAAGTTTTTGCTCCCGCGAGCTGGCAGGAAGCAAAAATGTGAACTGTCTGGCAGGGAGCTGGGAGGGAGCAAAAACATGGACTGACTGTGGGCCCCGCGGACCAGATTGGGAAACACTGCTCTATTCATTGGGAGCACCAATCATGATGGGGAAGATTCCACAACATTGCCAGGGAATTACTCTGTAGCCAGAGTTCATGGTGTGTGAATAGCATCTGCAATCATGTCTCCATCATGTCCCCCTCACACAATGTGTGGCCTTGTATTACTTTGACTCCTGGTATTGTTTTGCATGCAGAATATAGTTGTGTTCTGTAGCTAAATGGTCACTTTATGTAGATTTGTATATTTTCATTTGAATTGCAGTTAATGTGTAATATTCCTACCCGGTGCATAAATTATGTTCTGATTAATCCGTGTTTGTCTGAATTTGCTGTCTAGTAATTTCCTAGGTAGTGGTGATATCACAATCCCTGGAAAGAATTACTAGACACTAAAATACACATTACTGTATAAGCATGGGGCGTTACAGTCTAATGACTTTCTGACTTATCGCTTCGGTCATTTACACTGGAGGGGAACAGCAATGTCACATTATAGTGATAAACTGCCCGGCATCCTCTCAGGTGAATTAATCAGTTATACTAAAATTGTGATTAAATGAGCAAACACACTGACGTTATGCCAGTATGTGGCTGCCCTGCAGTCTGAGACCCGAGATCATACTGGTTTTATGTGCCAGTGGATATTGCTTGATCAGCTGAAAGTGAATCCGGTGAGACGTCACATTCTAGAATTAACAATTTTTGTTAAAAGGAATGATCAATGATCAGAGTGAAACTAAATGAACCGGGTATCCCTCAAAGATGCAAGGGAAGGAGAGCCTTAGGGGTAAGACCTAAAGATCTCAGCTACAATGGACCATGTCTTGTCGAAGGGCAACAGACCCTGGACACGTAAGGGGGGTAGGTCTGTGTGACTCAGGGGGGCATGAGGGGGGGGTTCTTAAGAGTCTGTGAGGGGGTTGCTGGTCAGGTGAGCTCAGGGCTTCAGGATTTGTGCTTCTGAATTCCACAAAGCCTCCTGAGCTGATGTTCCTACGGCATCTTTCAGTCCATCTTTCCAAGGTGAAGGGAGACCGTCCCTGGCCTGTGATTTTTATGCTCTCCAAGCCTTATGCCATTACGAAAAAATGTGCCTGCCAGTTTAATTGTGATTTAACACAATTGTCTGTGACACTTAACCTTTTCAAGAACATCCCAAATGAAAGACCCACAGGATCTATGAAAAGATGATCTTGCTTTCTGATCATGACCCCTGAGCTGCCACCAAAGCTGAATTACTACAGGTCCACATGGGCCTCATACACCACCAGTCAAAAGATTCTACACACACTGACATGTGCATGTTACTCACTTAACATTTACTTAACACTCAGTATTCTTTGCCAACAAATCAATTTACAGTAAGTTCACAATTTTTGTGCCTTTATTAACAAGAAAATGTCATATCTTTGATTCATCAAAGTAACCTCTTGCAGTTATAACAGTGAGAAAATGGGACGTTTCTACATGGGACGTTAAATACTGCTCTGTTTTGTGGGACGAAACAATTAACAAGTGCATTTAATAGGGTGTCAGACATGCACTGTTACATACTATTTCCATGTTATAAAGGAAACCTATTTTATTTGACTTATATTTTCATTTATAGTTGTTCACTCAATTTCCCAACACTTAACAAAAATAAAAATTCAGAAATTAATGGAAAAGTGGTAAAAACCTTTGATTGGTGGTGTATTACAGGCCCTGCAGAATGGCACACAGTGAAGAAGACCCTAACCCTAACCCTAACCCAAACCACTTCCTGGGGAAAACACATTTTTGATCTCCCTGGATTCAGCTGGGTACTGGTATCTCCATATTTCAGAGCAATGCTGATATCTCATTGCAAATTTCTCACTACTGATTCCATTCTGATATCTCTGACACCAGCTGGCTCCTGAGGTGACCAGTGGCATGACTCTAACAAGGAGGACTAAGGCATAAAAGAGGGCACCCATGAAAAAGTTGTTGAGTGGGGGGGGAGGAATCTATATCCATATACACATACTATGGAAGGCAAGAACTATATATTTATTGTGATATTCACCTTGTTTTCCAGAGAGAACAGCATAAAAAATGAAATGCAAACATGCCCATTCTTTGTGTGCTCGGGGGTTGAAGAGAGTAGTGCTAGTTGTTGATGGGGAGGTGGATAGGAGGAGGGAAAAAGGGGGAGAAGGGGGCTAAATGGGGGACACCCAACAGCAGTCCGAACAGATGCTAGGAAAACCGGACTGTCCAGATGAAAGTGGTCACCCTACTGGCTACTGATCTCTGCTGATCTCACCTTGCTGATCCCACACTGCTGATCTCACACTGCTGATCTTTCTAAATTCCTATCACCACCAATCTTTGCTGTCGATCTCCAAACTCCAGAGCTATTCCTTCAGGAAAAGATGACGGGCAGCTTTTGAGTTAACCACAAATCTGGAAAAGCAAGGTGTGGCGCTGGCCTTTGTCTGACCAGTGAGTAGCGAATCCAGCAAAGACAGCCTGCCAGGAGGAGGGGAGCCATTGATCAGCAGTGAGTAGTGTGCCGGAGCTCTCATTCGTATGCAGGCCATGTTCGATAAAAGAATATTACTCAGGCTTCTGCGTCTCTCGTTCTCACAGCCAGCCGCCCCCACATCTCCGAAACGCCATCCGCTCCCGCTGGCCGCCAGACACCTACAAAAGCCGGGCGTCGTCAACAGCCTCTGCGTCGCGGGATCGATGAGTCACCCCGGGACTTGACCCTAGCCCTCCACATCCCATAATTTCCTCCCCTCGCAAGCATTATTCTTTTGTTTGTTAGTATATTTGTTCTGTGAAAGCTGATGTCTGGAGCGCCTTAATGACCGGTCGTGATTCTGCACGGTTTCGTGTGTGCTGCACGTGGGGGAGTGGCTCAGTGGGTTAGGACGCAGTGCCTGTGATCGGAAGGTCATCAGCTCAAATCTCAGAGTTGACAGATTGATCTCACTTTTGGGCCCTTGAACAAGGCCCTTAATCTCCTGCTGCACTAAGAATTGACTGAACCTGCTTTCAGCTGTACACTGTTTCGATAAAAGAATGCGCTAAAAAAAAATTGTAATTGTATGCAGTGGGAATAGTTTGCTGTCATAAGTCCAAGTTGCACACTGGATTCAGGGTAGTTACAGGACCAGCATCTCAGTTAGAAGAAAACCACGACTGTTCCCTCGCAACACGTGACAAGATCCTGGTCAAGACCTCCAATGGCGCAAAAACAATTACCAGCATCAGTGCCTGCTGTCACTGGCCACCTACCCACAAGACAGAATGCAATTATTGGCATAATTAGGGTGTGATACGGATGGCTTCCAGGAAACATGTAGCAGGTGCTTGTGTGAGACAACCTGACCTCCATGAAACTCCCGGCACACGGTTCCCTGTACTCCACAAGTTCCCAAGCCTGGGACTGAAACCATTCGGCTCTCATAAACATCGGTGACATAGGCTGGATTTGCAGAAACCCACACGGACCAGAAGCCAGAGCTGAAGCGCAATCTACGGTAAAGCCAGATATTTGGCACCAATGCTGCAGGAAAAAAAAAAAAAAGTTTCGACAGCCTCGCAGATAAATGAATGTGGTGGTCAAGCCTGTCACTGCGTAGGAACATTCAGGCATTATAACAGACAGCTACACGCATATACTGCCATCGCTTCAAGAAGGGAAAGACATCTTTGTTATAAATACAATACACATGGCCATTTCAAAGACAAGGGAGACTGGTCAGATCTGTCTTTCAACGGTTTGAAGCCATATATGTCTGTACATATGCCATACATGTCTTTTTTTGTAGTCTTTCTTCTTTTTTCCTTATTCCTTCATTAAAGCTGATTCTGATCTTTTTCAGACCTATGTGTGGCTGTACTAGTGTGTGTCTATAACAGCTTGGGAAGGAAGGGCCGCTTCTCCCTGTAACATATAAATCCCTCACTCTACCTCCACTAGGCGTGAATTATAGGCCCAACACTGGTCGTGACCACAATCACTGGTAAAAGATGCTGTGGTTGGCACTGGCGCTGATGCTGTATAATGATTAATATCTTATGATGTCCAAGGAGTTTAGCCTCCTTTGTAGTAGTTCTGGGCCCATTTCCCATCAGCATTTGGAACCAATACTTAATCTTAGATGCTCACGTTGGACTATTAAAGCTGATCGATTATAAACTGCACCTTCATAATGCATTCATTATGTACTCATAGAACATTCAGTGCACCTTCATAATGTAATCATAGAACATTCATAAGCACCATGTAAGTATACCTTAATAGCTTTGATATACATTAATAACAAACATTATATCACTATATGATTACAACATTTGTTATTATCAGCTAAAAAGGCAGGATTGTGACTGGAAGTATGTTTTAAACGTTGTTCTCTCGTGTGTCAATGTTCATTTTCACGTGCAATTCACAGGCATCACTTTGATCCGCGTTGCAGAGAAACGATCATTACAGTGTTTGTTTAGTTTATGTTCCTATTGGTCTCATTATGCAAATATGGTCTGTTTTCATGCACGATTTACCAGACAATAAGGGCCCGAATCGGATCTCGCTTTTGTGCAAGCGCTCATGGCTCCTGAATACCTTGATAAGTTCTGTCAATGCCGCTCGCCGTAACCCACAGCAACGTCCACCGGGCCGGGAACCCAGGCCTCCCTTACATTCCTCTCATATTCACCTTATTGTAACAGCTGATTAAGCTCTTAATGAACCACTTCACTGTCCATAAGGATGAGCCAGATCAGTACTGGGTTCTGTGATTCAGTATCACGTCTTAATGCTCTAACTGACACAATATGTCTTTGACAAAACAAAATCACTCTTTAAACCCCCGTCACTGTTCCCTAAAACTTCATCTCAAACTACACAATATTTCCAGCAGTGCATACAATAACAGTGCCAGTTTCGATATTGCGTGAATACGGATTGCAGAGTATTGGTATGAGGCTGGGTTTAGATGATCACTCATGTTACCAAGGTGATTTACGACGGGCCCTGTGCCTATAAATTACTGAGAGAAATGCAGTTTGGAAGGCCACATTGGATTGGATTATCGATCAGCTGCTTGATAGTCATGTCAGGGTTACACCGTTTCAGCCATGTGGACTCAAGGACATGATTGTTTATGTCAGTCTAAGGTGTGTCATCTTAGGCTGCACTTCAGAAGTGTTTTTGTTAAGTTAATTTGAAAACGCCCTTTGAGTTTGGGTTCCTTAAGGCAGTGTTTCCCAACCCGGTCCTTGAGGTCTCCCAAACAGTCCATGATTTTCTCCCTGGAGCTGGGAGGTCTCCCTGAGGACTGGATTGGGATCATTGCCTTAAAGGAGCCTTGAACTCCATCCATCCATCCGTCCATCTATCCATCCGTCCATCCATCCATTCATCTTCTATACGGAATCTTTGGGTGCAAGGCAGAGAATAACACAGGACGGGCACTAACCCATCTCAGGCACACACACGCCCTATTAGCCTTGAACTCATTTTACATTTTATGTGGTCAATAATTTTTTTGTTTTATTAACCATGTAATCATCAACTTCTACCCACGTCCAGCTCACAAGCCCTGAGAATCTTCTGTGTACCTCCAGAGAAAGGCTTGGAGACCCCCCCCCCCCGGTTCTCACCCCAAGGATCCTACCTGCCAGAAAATGCTGTCTATGGTGTTGCCTAGGAAACCGTCCCGTGTCCCCGATGATAGCAATTTCGGCCCCAGAATGGTCACAAACTCATCGAAGTCCACCTGGCCGTCCCCTGGGATGACGAGATGATGTCACGAACACATTACACCACATTGCAATCACGTTCTGCGCGTTTTCACAGCAGACAGCCTGCCTCCAGGGCATTAAAGGTAGAAACGCAGACACATTCAGTGAATAATCAAACACTCACGCTCGCATTTGGTGTGAACTTCATACGGACTCTCACTGAGAATGATGAGAGGGACATTCTACCGAAATACGGCCCCTCAGAGACGGATTGGTCTGCTGATGTATTCAAGACATAAAATCACAAATGCACTTTTATGAGATCCATCTCCATCAGGGACAGAGAACAGGCACCAAGGCCTCTGCAGACCATCGAAGACCCGGACCATGGAGAAGCTCACAGATGGTGTGTTACTGTGCGTTTGCCTGATCGAAGCAGTTCTAGGAATATGGCCAATTACAGTAACAAAACTTTAATAATATTTATGCAGTATAACTCATGGCAGAGAGAGGCTGTCTGAGAAGATGTATGGGTTCACAACGAACCCACCCTGGCACCAATCTGTTCTCTTTTGACTGATACTTATTACAACAGCCCATCAGTGGGGATTTGACCCAGTGTAACCAGCAACAACTGAGCATTAACTGTTTCTGCAACACTTTTTGAAAAAACTGCTGTCCACAACAAGCAATCCCCCCCAAAAAAATACTGTTTACAACAGCCAATCCCCCATGCTGTTTACAACAGCCAATCCCGAAGCAGCTCTTGTTTATGGCAGCCAATCATTTGTGTCTCCACTCCTCTCTGGCAGCCACACCTCTTTAAATCAGCACGATCCATATAGGCTTCAGAAAAAAGGCAACTGGAAACAACAATCCTGCAGGAGCTCAGGAAGCGGCGTATTGTGTGAGAGGGAGTGTTTGAGAGACTCACCGTCCATGTCTAGCCTCTGCATGATGATGGCCAACTCCACCTCGCTGGGCATGTACCCCAGCGATCGCATGGCCATTCCCAGCTCCTGTTTGGAGATGAACCCATTGCCATCGCGATCCAGCACGCGGAACGCTTCACGGATTTCTGTGGGACAGTATCCAAATAGAACCTCTATGAAAAGGGTATTACACAGCATCACAGAGAAACTAAAATTAATTCCTGTTCGATTCCAACTTTTTTAAAGTTAATTCATCTTAAGTTTGCTCAATAAACATATTCATGTTCCTAAGAACTTCATCCAGCCCAGCTGCACTCCACGGATGTTAGTGCGTCTGGTAGTGCAGATTTGTATTCTTGTAACACTCCCACACTTCTGTATAAAGTGCCCTGACAGGAAGCAGCCTCACCTTGAGAAGTCACATGACAGTTTGAGGATCTCTGAGTTTTTCTTCCTCGTTAAAGGTACAACAGCACCCAGTGGAAGGCAGGTGAGCTGGCAGGTAAGATCGAGCACGCCGGCGAAAGACTGGAAATTCGTGTGACGGGGAACGTGGTCTTAAGCCTTTCCTCCAAATTCAGGTTTATATTCAGCGATACCAAAAGCACCGCGCTTGCTATAATAACAAATTGGCTCCTAAACTGATACTGACTACATCCAGACACCAGTTCGTATTCCGAATTAAACACCTTGAGCGGATTATGCAAAGGATCCGTACAGAGCACTATGATCGCAAGGATGACTTAGAGACACCCGGGCGAGCTGGAGCTTCCCCCGTTTCCAAAACGTGAAGGTTACGCCACCAGTTGTTGACTTCACCGTGATCGGTTTATGAAATCTCCGGTTCCTCCACCAAACTACATAAAGAAACAAGCAAGGGAAGCGCAACCAGCTGTACTGCCCATACCCGCCGGTCTCCTCCAATCATCTCTGACTGCTTGTGGCACTGCACATATTAAGTGTGAATCACTTACAGCCACCAAGGACGGTATCCCATGAGCCCCTTGGTGGATCCCATGAGCCCCTTGGTGCTCTTTCATAGACCAGGTATGTGGGATATTAATAAGATGCATGTTCCTTCAAGGTCATTGAGCTTCAAATGAAGGGATGAGTCAAGAGGAGGGGAGTTTAAGATAGGAAACTAGAGACATTTACTCACTTATCTGATCCTTTCATCCAAAGCATCTTACAGTAAATGGAAGTGCTACAATTTATACACACTCCCTAGAATTTGAACCCACAACCTTGGCATTGCTAACATAATGCTGTACTTACTGAGCTACAGAAGGCAATACAGAGCAAAAACACCATGATTCTTTAACCGCTGCATTTGTGCTGCATTGCCTTGAGTGGTTTTTTTTTCAGTTAAGTTCTGTTGTTTGAGCTATGGTCAATGTCCAATGGCATAATATCCTTTGTCTACCATTGGACCGGTAAATTCCCCATCAACTATTCATCCATGCTGTGCTCTACCATACAACATACCACCCATTCCCCTTTTCATTCAAGGAGTGTTTGTTCACTAGTAAGTAGTGTCTCAATTATCACCCTCCCCAGAGACCTACCTGAAGAGTGGTTTGTTTGTATGATTTGGGAATTTCTTATCCATGTATAGATATTGTTTGGTTATCCTGTTCCTTGTGTTGTTCTATAATTGTATACATGCTGTTGTGTTTGGTTTTGTTCCCATTCCCACCTTTGCATCTGACTCACTGTGCATCAGAATTAGGACCTGGATTTCACTTAAGCACTGAGCTCTTGCTGTGTGCTGATTGGTCAGTCTCCTACAATCATGCATGTGTCACTGTGAAACAGCTGGATGAGTCTTTCAATCAAGGAAACCAGTAAAGCACAAGAAGAGCTGAACTATTTAGCCAAGCACGTGAGACTTGTAAAATCTGAAGTAGTCACCCTAATCAGAGTGGCCTCACATTTGGTATCAGATAAGCCCAAGTACATAATATTATGCCATATTTATATCAGCTATAGCCTTTGCTTGTCTTACAGGCTCGTTTCCAGATTGCGGATTGCCTCTACAGGCACAAAGTGTGTGTGTAAAATGTAACAGCGCACACACTCAATCTACTTAAGTCCCAGGGAGTCAGAGAACACTCTAACGAAAAGGCCGTCAGCTTTTTCGCTAGGGAACGCGGGATGTGTGGGCGCTAAATATCACTGAACGCGTACTGTACAGTCAACCTATTTAGGACCCATCATTCACATAATAACAAGGCAGTTAAATCAGAGTGGAGAACACATTCCCGTCACTCTGCATGGGGAATGTCATTTTCAAGGTCTTTGAAGTTAACCCTTTAAATGAAACATTGAGTTTATTCCAGGCTGAGCTCACTAATGTATCACCTTCTCGCCATATTCTGACGACCTTTATCTTAACATACATTGTTCTAAGCTCATTTTACAGGGAGTGGGATCATTTCCAAAGAAACGGAACTGTGAGTCACACCGAGTACCAAGGGGGTCGGGTTGCACTCACCGCCCAGCTCCTCGGCTGAGATGTTGGCCAGCTGGTCGCTGTCACTGCCTTCGGACAGGGAGCTGCTCAGGTAGTGGCCCTTGTAGAGCAGCCCGGCCGTGACGTGGTGGAGGGGCATGGCTTCCCTGCGGGAAGGGGGCGGAGTTTCAGCAAAGCGTCACAATCCAGCCAACTCATAGGCACACATATCACCGAGGTATTCAAATAAAAGTCACTGAAGTAAATATACAAAAGCCACTCAGGTAAGCACATAAATACCAATGTATTTCTGCTGCATCTGCAGCCACAGGTATGAACCTTCAGCAGGTTCAGTGCTTCTGCATGTTTCATTCCCCTATGTTGGGGTGAACTAATGGGTCTCACTCTGTCTCATGGGATTACACCAGTCAGCCAGAAAATGCTGCAAAACCTCGCAGGACCTCATGGGGGGGCTTTCATCTTATACTGTGGCCATTAATCACCAGCAGTAAGACCAAGAGAAAAAAAAAACAAGCATTTTCTGTATATACCTGACGGGATGAACCATCAAGTGGTCCTAGCGGAACACAAAATCTATTCTGGAATCTAATAGGATAGTCAATGGAGTATCGGGAAATGGGTGCCATTGTTCAGTACTGATAGAGATTAACGGCTGCCGATTTTGTAGTCAAAACGTCTGATTTTGAGATACATTTTTTAGAGCTACTCTGTGTACTCTGTGATAGTTGATGATCAGGAAAGAACTCAGTGGTCTGATGCTTTTATTGACCTCGTATCAGTCTGTATCAGGGCTGTTACACACCTCAATCCTAGTACCTATTTCTTCCTGGAAGCTTGGAACTGTTCCATCGCATTCCTCGGAGATCACTATATGTTTAATGCCTGCGTTCAGTGCTTCTCTCTTCAAAAACCCGGATGCAGGCATCACGCTGAGCTTCTCTCTTCATGTGAAGTGCGTCCAGATGCACAGAGATGCTCATCCATGTGTGCCAAGGCAGCCCAGGCTGTCAGCAGATTTATGGACACTTCCTGGAGCTGTTCAAGTTAAGTGCCTTGCTTAAGGGTTCAACAACAGTGCAATCCACATGGGATCTCGTTGGTGTGACCTTCCACTGACACATTCAGTTTGATACCCAATTTCTGCACTTTCACATGCAGAATTATGGGTATGACCTTCACCCAGGAGAATGGAACCTTGCTGGAATCAATTACCGCAGTGGCAACATAGGACATGGTTAGCTGGTGATGGTAACATTCACTGGCTGTTTCAGAGCAGCTGTTGACTAATGGTGGGGTAATGTTACTTCTTCACAGTTTACTGGCTTGCCACCATAGCCATGTATACAACTGGATATTTACAAGATTTGATCAAGTTAAGCATCGTTCTCATGGGTACTTTCATGGGTATCCTCCATTCCTCTTTTGGAACTTGAGCCTGCAGTCTTTCAGTCATGAGCCCCCATTCCTTAAATACCAATGGTTGCAGAACAAAGTCAAACGATGTGCTAAACTATGAACCAAATACCACGAGTTCTGCTGAATTTGTCACAGTCCACTTGACCACAGGCCCGTAAAATGCTCTACCTGAAGAAAAATCTAGAACATATAAACAGAAATACACATACACCTCCACAAAAAACAAACGTTTGCTTTCACTCTACCTGATGAACAATCTAGAACACATAAACAAAAATATACATACACCTCCACAAAAAAACAAACGTTTGCTTTCACTCAACAAAGCTCCCAGTACTTAAGCAATTCCAGTCACCATGAAATTTAGATGAAACTGCAAAGCAACCAATGGTTTCTGCCTTCAAAATGTATCTGCATTGCTGACACTAATAAGAGTTGTTGCATATTCTTATTGGTGGGGAGACCAATCTGTGACTAAGCTGACAGCTCTGACATTGTTTCATGGGAGATCGCCAACTCATTTTACACCACGTGAACTTTCGTTTCACACCCACTCTGAGGCATTTTAAATGGCCTGCCTGGGGCCAGCTCACAGTCATTGCTGCAAACATAGGTAACAAAGTCAGCCTTGCAGAATTTGTGCTTACCTAGGAGGTGCCCATTCTGATTGGTCTGAAGGGATACCGCTGTCAAGCCACTATGTCTGTATGGTCACATGACTCCTACACCCCCAGGTCTCAAAAGCTCATAATCACCACACACTCTAACTCAAGTGAGGGCATCAGCCTTCTCAATTTCCAGGCAGTATATTTCCTACTATATATTTATTGAGCAGATACTATTGTCCAAAGCAACCAGGGTCAAACAGTGTGCCTGGTGAAATTGGAGATGAAGCTTTGCTCAAGAACTTGGCAATGACATCACTCTGCCAGTGACAGGATTTTAACCTGTCTAGCTTCTAACCACAAACACAGAGTCCTACGGCCCCTCAATGGTGAGACATGGAACACCCAGAGCTGTCTGTCACCTGCAGGCTTCTGCTGTTCATAAGGCTCCATTGATAAGGGTTTATGTGGGATAACCTAAAGGAATCTCCAGCCTTCTGAGGATCAGGAATGGCTACTTCGCTCAGAGGGGAGGAGCCAAAGAGTAGCAAGGGGTGGAGCTACAGGAGGCTGGATCAGAGGTCAGGTGACTTTCGGCATTCAGGTTTGCCACTAAGTATTCACGATCTGCAAGAGCCGTAACTCTGAACTCACACTCTGTAGTTCCTGTTCATAAAAATCAAAATAACCCTACGTGTTGACCTCAAATTTGCATTTGTATTTAAATGTATAAATATGCAACTTTATAATAGATTACTCAGGAATAGCCTATACAATGACTATTAGACACATTTTCAAGAATGTCAATATTTATAAAGCAATGTATTAAACATTTCTAAAAGGGCAGAAATATGAAAATTAAGTCGACAATGACGGATGCCCCTAAATAGAACAGTCTTGTTTCGGTATACAGAAAACATATATTTTCTATGTCATATAGGCTACTTCATAATGCTTCATATATTTGCATACATATTCGCAATTTCCAAGTAAGCGACTTAAATACCAAATTATTCTTTCACGTACCCTCCCCCACATATGCACAGAGCAAAGTGCAGCCTTTTTTCATAAACGTTTAAAGAAAGGCTTAGCCGAAATAAGCCGTCCAGCTTCCACACTGACCCGATCCCTCAAACAAACAAACAAACAAACACACACACACACACACACACACACACACGTTCGGAATCCATAAAACCGAAACCGCACACCTTTTCTGCAATTCCCACAAGCGAGTTGATCTGAGCCACGGGAGACTGCAGGTTCACTTCAATTCACGTCCTTTCCCCTAAATGCTTATTTGAATAAAAAGTCACCCCATTTGGAAAAAAATACACACAGAAACACCCAAGGGTTCGGTTTTATTCCTGCTAGTATTTTCTCAAAACGTCATAAAAGGCGTAAAGTGGTGCGGCCAATAACGAAAAAAAAAAAACAATTATAAAGGTGCGTGGTAAACGCCATGTCACCCAAACGCACTCCACTGTGCCTCGTCCTGTCTTAAATTGATGAAATTTTTAAAAGTCCCCGACAACTGGCAGACTGCTCTAAGGCGGTAAGTCACAGAACCCGTCCATCGTCCCGCTGCCCGCTGTCCCTCACCCGTAATCCGGGGGCTGCTGCAGCTCGATGGGTTCCGTCTGACTCCCCATCGCCTCCTTCGGAGTGCCCGGTTCCTCTTCCTCCGGCCGCTCCATCTCCACTGGACGTGTGACCTCCATAATCCCCCCTCCCCACCCCACGGTGGCTCAGCCTGAGTGCCGCGGGAGTTCAGGCTTCACCCAGGACAACGGCATCGGGGGGTCCAGACACCGTCTCTTAATATTTCAGCAGCATCTCACTTGTGGCCGTGCCCCACCACGTGGAGGACGGGGCTGGTTTAAACATCTCTTGGACGAACCATCGCCCCTCCTCCGTGCAGCCACGGGGCGTCGTTCCCCCCCAGCAAATGAACTGATACATTCACACCGCCTCCCGAGCCTTTTCCCACCTAATGCCCCTCCAGGCATCGTCAAAGTCGGGGCCGAAAAGCATACAGGATTTACCCGTATAATGACCCGCACGTTCATTTTAAGCATCATTTGCATGAAACCTCGAATGATCATCTTGGAGATTATGACAAAGTAAAAACGTATTTTTTTACATGCATCATAAAGTTGGGGTAGGAAGGCGACAAAATAAGCATGAATGAAAATGATTTATTCACAAGACGTACGATCTTACTGTCCGACATTTCAGTTTTAACAGAAATTGATGGAGCAATCGCCGCACACCTACACTGACCAGATTTCCGAGGGCACACAAGCAACAATGTCATAGCAAATAAACGCCTAATAATAATACGGATAAATGATTAATAAATAAAAGGCCAAAGTTATCTATGTACTGTGGTTAAAAAACGCTAATGATGGTAGGCTATAAAAACACAAGCGCGTTAATCCACGCACAGAGGCGTCATTGATCTTTTCGCCCTCCCTGCCGCTCATGTAACGTTGACTAGGGGGTATATTTTAATAACAACAGGTGAATTTCAGAGACACGTGAAACGCTGAAATACTACACACTCATACTGGGAGATGGTGAGCCCGTTCGGCATTTGGCACTGTAATATCCGATCTTTATGGAGATGATTTAAACTGAACATCCACTTTCATGACTTACCTTTAAATCGCTTCGGCTCCGCTTAGATCCGACGCCAAAATGCAAGGGATCAAGTCTGCTTTACGCGCCTGTATGAACCTCTCAATTGTACCATATAAGTGTGGAAAAAATGCCAAATTCAGTGCTTTGGTTCTTGATCCATTGCAACAACAGTGGTCGGCAACCCCCTTTAAAAGCCCCGAACACAGTCGTGGCCATCAAACTCAGCTCACGTCTTCAATTCCCCTTCTCCTCCTTCGCCATCTCTCTTCTTCGGGGTGATTTGAATAAGGCTCAGATTTAATTTGAAAAGGTATTCGGACAGGTATGCTCTTTTTAACCCGCCCCTCTCCGTAGTGCAGTGGCTGTAGCGCCGCGATGTAACACTGTCCTTATAACCAGCACTGAAATTAATACAAACGAGATCGCCAACAGCTGCTGACTTTTATATCATGTCGGTTTTTACTACCGGGAGCGAAAGGCAGGAAACAGGTAAAAGTAATTTCTGTCCTTATTGTTGTCGACCTGTAAATAATGTCTTCCTACCGGCAGTAACTCGTATATTGTAAAGATGCGACAGCAGTGAAATCATCTGCTCTGATTTCTTTGACAGGTCTGGGGTAACTGCATAATAAACGGCAGGCACTGGACACATCAGGTGCAATAAATATTCAGCCATATTTAGTATTTATACCTATAGAAAAGTGCGGATGGGCGAAAATAATTTCACCTTACGTCCCGAATTTCGGCAACACGCTACAAAGAACAATTCGTTACGATTCACTACCACTAACGCTCAAATCTTGTTATAGTCAAAAATCCGCGCAGAGCATGCTATTTCGTTTTTAAATACAGGCCTATGAGCTGTTTTGCTATTCCCTCCAGCGGTAGTCCAGTATCTCAGTGGGATAATGATTCTAATACATACAACCAATACAAATAATACGATATATAACTACAAGTTAGGTGCTTAATGTATATTTCTAAATGCCAAGTCTTTGTGAATATAAATATAGCATACATTTTGACAGTTAAATACAGTTGCTGTGCCTTGCTCTTCATTTGCAAAGCTTTGAGGAAAAATGAAATCTATTTTCTAAAATAGGATGAAGTCCAGGTGACCCGGAAATAATCTGACCTTTCCCTGTGATTACAGAGACCGGATTGAACATTAATAGCTGATTAAATAATCAATCCATTCACCTTCTAACTGCTTGTCTTGGTCAGGGTCACCTGGAGTCTATTCCAAGCAGCATAGGACACAAGGCCGGTCTATTGTAGGGCACAAACACACACACACTAACAATCATACATTATGGACAATTTAGAGACGTCATCTGACTGCATCTTTGGACTGCAGAAGAAAAAGGGAATTCCCAGAGAAAATCCACATGACCTGGGGGGAACATGCAAACTCTACACACAGAGCAGAGATGGAAATCAAATTCCCAACCCCAAAGGTGTCAGGAAACAGTGCTTACCCCCGAGCCACTACACTGCTGTACTTATACAGCATTATTAATATTAATTACATGCTTGCAGCATGTGAACTAACTAGCGATATGACTGTTGATAATTCACATTAAAAGAGCCGCAGTGAAGATATCATTTCTATCACCTTGGTAGGCGAGCAGCAGGTGAAATCTACATTGAGTGAATACAGCTAAACATGGAACATTATATTAGAATGGTCCAGTTTTAAAATATTGCGGGGATGTACTACCCACTGCACAGCATGCGGAGCTAACCCTAACCCAAAGAGCAGTCTTGGATTCAACCACAAAACCTACAGTCGCTGCAAAACCATTAACCAGGGTCCAGAAAACGCACTAGGGATTGTGACCACTGCCAAATTTTAGGCATGATGGTCGTGTTTGCTGGCAAGAGCCACGGTTAATAATCATCATGCTGTTTTTTTAACTCGTTCAATTTGAGGATCATCCTTTAGATGTGAACCAGCAGCCTGAGTGTGACTGAGCCGCTTTTAACCTTCGCCGTAGTCTTTCGCTCTGTTCGGGCTGAGATGAATGGGATTGCATTTTTAAATATCATGCATTTACACCACTAGGCATTGAATGCAGCTATTCCAGTTAAGGACTGACTCAAGGGCACAGCCGCTGGCTGCTCTCGGGCCTCAGATGCTTACGATCTTTATTCCCCGAACTTATAAACAATCCAATGTGCTGCATCTGGGTGCAGATGAGTGCAGGCTTTAGGTGAGGGGTTTAATGAGGCTGTCAGACCGTCACAAAGCTGAACGATTCCTCTGAAGTCAGACACAGAGCTCCCTGACTTTGGTCTAACCTGCGCTCAGGTTTGAACTACACACTTTCATTTCCATTTGTGTCTCCTTGAGCGGAGAGTCAGGGACACAGAGGTCTCTGACTTTCAAACAAAGGCCCGTGACTTTCATACAGAGAACTCTGACATTCGAATGGCAGACTTTGAACCTCGCACAGGGACGAGAGTCTGCGAGTGTCTCCCTTTGGGGGTTTAATAATGCTCATTTTGCTTTTATGATTTATGATCACCCAGTGATGAAGCAGGCAGCAGGATTTGTGTGGAGGTGAAGACGTAAAACGTTTGATGGAAATGAATTAGAGTCAGATCTCAGTAGGGTTCTGCTACTGAATATTTAGCAGCATAAAATTTGGGAGTATTTTTTGTGGGTTAGGGGCTATGCTAAGAAAATAAACAGCAATGCCTTCTTCCCAGTACAATGGAATTTGCATCCATAGTGAAAATTAATCTTTCCTCTGGAGTTTTATTACCTCTGGAAATTTCAGCAGTTAATGGGGAATTCTGTCTCATGCCTGCTGCCATCACTCCTGGTGCCTGGTGCTGGAATTTACTTAATTAAAGGAGGTAATTGGATTAGAACCCGGATCCCATTTGTCTAAATCAGTCGCAGAGGATTTTAGTCAACTACCGTGAAGGACCACTAGCCCACTCTGTGCCATACATCCAATGACAGCAGGAGGGCAAAAGAATCTAAGCTCATCTTTGCCAAATACTCACACCCTGTGATGGAAATGTATATTTTTTAAATAACAGCTTTTAGATTTATATTCAGATGCACTTTTACTGGTGGACTGATTTTGCGGTTACATGCATATTGCACTCTTCCAGTCCTCCTAGGAGTGATATCCCTCATCCAGTGCCGATCAACAGTTAAGGTGACATTGGCGGACACCTAGGGCACCATCTTCTGAGGGGGTGGCGATTTATCAAGACAGTCTCATTTATTTTTGTACAGTATGTGTCAGGTGGGGGGCTTGAAGCTTGCATAGGGCTCCACATGAGCTCTGACTGGCATTGCCTACATCAGCCATGCACTGGGAAGGTAATGCCATGCAAAATGCAGTCCAATAGTGACGCCAGAGTACTACTTCTATCGCCCCCAGGTGGTGATATGCAGTGCTTTACAGGTACTTACACCTGTCAAAGTCATAGATGAAGAAATAATTAATAAAAACCTGCAGAATTTCAGTTATAGAAGTTTAAAACAAACCTCACATTTTGTTTTCAGACTGAGCTCCTTGTGGCATTTATTTTGTGTATTCTGTTCTAATACCAGCCTACGCCCTTGCATTAATTAGCCTAATTAGTACTTTTCTTGTCTGTATTCTGGAGCAGTACATCACCAGGGGTGTGGGTCTGATTGTATGCTACTGCTGTGTGTGCAGTGCACTGTGAATGTTGAGGGTCTGATTGTATGCTACTGCTGTGTGTGCAGTGCACTGTGTATGTTGAGGGTCTGATTCTCAGCTACTGCTGTGTGTGCAGTGCACTGTGTATGTTGAGGGTCTGATTTTCAGCTACTGCTGTGTGTGCAGTGCACTTCGTATGTTGTGGGTCTCTTTGCCAGCTACTGCTCAGTGTGTGCAGTGCACTGTGTATGTTGTGGGTCTGATTCTCAGCTACTGCTCTGTGTGTGCAGTGCACTGTGTATGTTGAGGGTCTGATTTTCAGCTACTGCTGTGTGTGCAGTGCACTTCGTATGTTGTGGGTCTCATTGTCAGCTACTGCTCGGTGTGTGCAGTGCACTTCGTATGTTGTGGGTCTCATTGTCAGCTACTGCTCGGTGTGTGCAGTGCACTTCGTATGTTGTGGGTCTC